TTCATTCTTGTGGTTGCGCTTTTTTTAATATGTTATAATAACAACAACAGTGACAAACTACTGGTCCTACTGGACTCCTAGTGCTCGGAAATTCCTACTGGACTCCTACTGGATTCCTACTGGACTAATCCTACTGGACTCCACTATACCCATTCCTTAGGAATCCACAATTCCTTGTGATTTGGGACCATTCCAGTAGGAATTTACTAGGACTCCACTAGGACTGGGACACAAAATTTGTATGGTGATCAGCCAACGAGGACTTTACACTCCCCCACATATTCCGGTTGGACTCCAGATGGACTCCGGCGGACTCCAGATGGATTACTGCTGTTCATCCAGTATTTTTTGTAATTTTTTCTTTGGTGGCAACCCAGCCAAATGTTAGTCTAGAATCCACCTGGACTCCAGCTGGACTCCAGGTCCACCATCTGGACTGCATGGACTCCACCTCATAACACAGTCAACCAGCCAGACTCCAGATGGAGTCCAGCAGGAGTTTACAATTTCTGTTTATTTATTATTGTTATTATTAGACAAAGAAAAAAGAATGCAATGACCAGGAATTGAACACTCGACCACTTGGGCAGCTTTTACTGCCGCAATAAACCACTACACCACGAAGGCTTTATTATCTGCACAATTTTTACACATCATATACCCTCGCTCCCAGCACGTTCCGAAAGCTGGCAAAACATGTTGGCTTTGTTGCCACGTCGTCGTCTTTCGTCTTCCCACCACCACCTTCCCTCCACATCCAACCTCGTTCGACACACCCAACGATCGCACCTCATTTCCACCCACCACCATGCACGTATGGCGAAAAAGAAGACCACACCAGCGAAGTTGAGGAAGCGTCAAGCGTCAAAAGCTGACGAGCAGCCAGTCAAACGCAGCCGACGTGGCCAGAACAACGACAACCATGACAAGCAAGAAGATTCCGACCAGTGGGCCGACAAGGAGCAGGCCACGGAGACCAAAGGAAAGGCAGGAAAGGGGGGAAAGCGAGGGCGGGCGAAGGCACCTGCCCAAAGGTGCGTACGCCCGTAATCAATGGCAATCATCGATGACGATTGCCATCGATCGGGTGCGATCCTTTCCCCAATTCCTCACAACTAACGTTTTCTACAGGAAAACTGCCCAGGACCGCAATCGAGAAGATGCAGCGCTCGCATCGCCGCCCAGGTCAAAGCAAACGCCGTACGTATCCCCTCCCCTCGTCCTTTTTCTATTTTTTATTTCTATTCTAGTGCCGAGCGCGTGTTGTCCGCCTGCGGCATCAGTGTCGCACCCCCACGTTGATCCCTTCGCCGCACCGATCCCACCTCTGGACAACAACCCACACCAGCCGACGACTCGACCCCTGCTCAGCCCATGCCCGCTTCCGCTACCCAACGCCGCCAGGCTGCCAAACCATGTGGTGGCCCCAATGAAACCAACGACGACAACCACCCCCTCCAAGATACAAACAGCGACGACATGAACGGACCCAACGAAGACGAAGAACCAAACAAAGACCAACAACCTGAAGACACCCAGCACGACAACAACAACAACCAGCATGACGACAACAACAACAACAACCAGCACGATGACAACAACAACAACAACCAGCATGACAAACGGCACGACGAACAGCACGACGAGCAGCACAATGAACAGCACGACGAGCAGCACATCAACACTGGGAGCGCCACCCGTCCACACACCAAGCGTGCCCACGTCAGCACCAACACCCCCAGCACCAACGCCGCCGCCACACGTCAGCAAGCCACGCCCGCCAACGCCAGTACCAACACCGCCACACGTCAGCGCAATGCGCACGCCAACACAATCAACATGACCCCACACCAGCGTGTCACGCCTGCCAACGTCAACACCAGCACCAATGCAGCCACACGTCGGCATGCCATGCCCACCACGCGCACAGTCATGGGGAAGCCCAACGCTAACGTAGATAGCCAACATAATGCAGATAACAACAACACAGGTGCGTTAATGCTACCATGTCTTATCACAGTCAGGATAAGTGGTCCACTATCCTGACTGTGAAAACTCATCTCGACGTCGGGATGGTAGGTAACCCACCACCCATCCTGATAGTTGAGATGTCAGGGACTTGTGTCCGTCCTTCATCCATCTGGGTGAAGATGTTTTTATTTTTATTTATATATCTTGTAATATTACCATGACTTGGTGCTAAGTAAACTGTTTAGAACATTTTCGTGGGCGGCAGCTCAAGCGTGATGGCAATCCAAGTCAAGCAGCATCTATACACCATGAAGGTACCCTTTACCTATCTGTGTTTTATTCTATTGTATTAAACTTTCTCAAATACAGATACAGTTATGGCTAGTCCACCAAAAGGGACAATTCCTGCATACGGCTCATCACGTTCGACTGGTGGAGTCTTCCGGGGAAAAGCTCTGGGCAATTCCATTAACATTGGTGACGCTGTTGAAGTCTGGGAGGAGATGGATGTTTTTAGAGAGGGTCTAGCTCAGAAACCAGTCAAGGGAAAGATTCACTTCTACATCTCAAACCTCAATCCACCCGATATTGACATCACCAAGTCCTCTTTTATCGCCGATGTCTCTGATATCAGAAAGTGTGAAACCATTCAAGATGTTATTGGTCGTGGATCCCGAGACTATTCACCTATTCGACGTGAGTTTGATAAAATTTCTGGTAAATATATATTAATCACTCTACATAGAACCTGCCTATCACCTCTTCAAATATGAAGAAGAGGGCTGGAGTGTCCAAGGACACTATGAATCAATCATGAAGCGCAAACCAACAGATGAAGACTATGTAGAGTGGTTGGATGATGAGCAGAACAGAAAGATTATTCGTATTTTGGGTGTAAGTCATTTATTAGACTCTTTTTGAATTATTTTAATGAAAAGTCTGGTTTCTAGACTACATTTGATCCTAGTCTCTCAGTATCTTTGCCTGGATTTACAGGCCATCTTGGTTCTAGCATTGGGTCTCGTTCTGTATCTGCACACTCTGGCTCTCGTGCAGGCTGTCGTATTACATCTGCTGGTCATTCTTCATCCACTGTCGAACAAGGTTCATCTCTAGGTCACTGGTTCATTGGAAAAGACAAACTGTCTCCAGCATTGAGAAACCGTCTTGTTGAAGAGCTTAATCTCAATGCTAATTATACAAATTGTTCAGCTACAGGCCTGTGCTTTGCCTGGGGACGATATTTAGAATGTACTGCAGCTCTTGCACGGGCCAAAGAAATGGTAGCAGTTGGAAGTTGGCCATCTGACATTCCTGCTTTTACGGAATGGATGGTAATTGAAGTCTTCATTGGGAGGTCAACTTGGTATGCCAACTATGTTCCAGCCTTTGGAGCAATTGCAGACGAAGAAACAGCCTTTCCTGAAATGAGGGACTGGTTGGATAGTCCACCAGATCAAGTCCTTCGATCTGATACTGAGCATCTTTGGGGTATTCGGGATCAGCTGTCTTTTACTATGGAGGAAATAAAGAAGTGGCAGGACAACGGTGGAACTTTGGACAAAAATTATAGTCCAACTCCTAGTCCAGAACTAGATGGCTCATCAAAAGGAAAGGGCAAGGGAAAGGTTAAGGCTCAGTCAAAGTCTCACAAGAAATTGAAGTAGTAGATTTTTTCTTCTTTATTTTCAGTTCAAAGTCACTAATGTTTTTTCTTTGTACTTGTAGCTCAGTTTTGAACAGTATTCCATTTTTTTTACAGATTTGTAGTGTCTCTTGGCTCTCTTGGTTTCACCATCATATGCACTTTACTCTCTCTTTTGAAAGCCTTTACTTCCACTATAACTGCTTTCTCATTTATGACAATTGTAGTGTCTCTTGGCTCTCTTGGTTTCACCATCATATGCACTTCATTATCTCTTTTGAAAGGCTTTACTTCCACTGTAACTGCTTTCTCGTTTATGACAAGGCTATGCATTATTCTTGCCTTTGTGCCTTTGGTCTCCGCAGCTCCAAAAACACAGCCATTTCCCAATCTGCCATTCAAAGTTTTCAGTGGATTTGTAGAACAAACATTTGGTCCAAATATATCATTGGCTACGGTGCTTCTTCTCTTATTTACAATGACTGAAAATCCTGAATTGCTCAGTCTACATGCCCGCCAACAGCATCCAGCTGAGGGTGAAAATAAAACTGTAGCTTCTGGATGGATTTGTTCTTTGTCACGTGCTATAATGCACTAATTGAAGGATGATATTAAAACAGTACTTCGTCCTGGAGAATATCAGCCAAAGCAAAATCACCAAGTCACAAAATTGTCTACCAAACTTGATGCATTTGCAAACTTATTGAATCTTACCCCATATGACCATCGGGGAAAGTTCAAAGAGAGACTGCAGCCAGTTTCCTATATTGCAATTCAAGCTGTTCATGCTATTTGTCCTGATAGCATTACTTGTGTTGATCAATGGTGTGCTTCTAGAGCTCTTTTGCAAATAACCAGACCAAGAGATGTCCCATTGGTTACCTTAATCAAAGACAATATTCCTTATGAGGATGTTCCTGTTCTGACAGGCAAATGCATGCAATGTGGTGCTATCTATTATGCAGATCATGAGTGCTTCAAAGATAACTATGGTTCTTGGACCAAGTGCTATCTAAATTCTGCACGATTCCTAAAGATAGGACAGTCTACTTGGGTTGACAGAAATTTTACACACTCTGTTCTCAGTGGAATGTATAATTTCCATGCATCAGCCTCTGCGTATACACAGCATTGGAATGATTGTGCTTCAGTTACTGACTCCAAGGTCCAAGTTACCTGGCGTCATATTTGGCAGGCTTTTGTTCAGGAATCAATCAGAACAATTGCAAGTGTGAATAGCAACAATTTGGAGTTGCCTGACAACTTGAACATTGAAGAAGTTACCCAGCAGGCATTTGAGAAATTAGGAAATGGGGGGGTAATAGAGCCAGGAAAAGAGCATTCATGTTCTAAGTGCTGTCAACCATATAAAGAGACTGCAGATTTTATGGCCAATGAAGATCCTGCAGCAGTGATAGGAGCAGATGAAAATTCTACTGTACCTGTTTTAACAGGAGAATATGCAAATTTATCTGCACAAGATACTACGAGAGAGAGACAAGCAGCCCAATTGAGAGCAAACAATCTCAATAATACTGATCCCAATGCTATGGATGTCAGTGATGATGATGCTGATTGTTCAATGATCATTTTGGATGGTGTTGTGATGGGCCCTCAGGTAATTAAACTTACTTGGCCTTCTAGAAACTGGATGCTGACTTCTTTTTAGCACTGTGCAGCAGAAGGATGTATTAAAGACTTACAAAATACAAGAGGGGGGGCATTTTGTGAGGAACATGAAAGAGAATATGGGAATAGATGCCGTATCCGTGACTGTGCTCGAGATAGAGTTGAAAATACACTGGCATGCCGCTCTCACCAAGCAGAATGGAAGAAATACAAACTTGACCACAGTCGTTCAAGTTTGCTTGGAGTAAAAAGGATGTTACAAAGACCAGAAGAAAGAAATGCTTGGGAGCCTGGTCTCCGCCGAACTGTTCAGCCCCATGATGCTGATGATGATGTTATAATTCCACGACACAATTATTTTGGAGCAACCAGATTTTATTGTGTTGAAACCATTACAGCACCATGTGGTGTTGTAATTGCATGGGTTAAATTTGACAGAGCTGAGTCTCCAACCAACATTCTTAATTGGTTAGAGAAAATATATCCTACTGAGGAGTCTCGACCACACTACATTTGCATTGATAAAGCTTGTCGAGTACTTAGAACAGCTATTGCAAATGGAAGCTGGGATAGATGGAAGAAAACCACACATTTCATTGTTGACTCTTATCATTATATCAATCATCGCACATTGGATTATTTGTGCCGCAAATGGTGTAACCTGGTCCATTGAATGGTTCTGCTCCAAATCTTGTCAAAGTTGCTCATGATAAGAATGGTCGACCATATCTTCAACGGGCATTCAATACACAGGTATGCATTATGCATTTCTATTAATTTTAATTTGATTTGACTGACTCAATTTTAGGCATGTGAACAATTGAATTCTTGGCTTGGAGGATTTGAGTCCATTCTCAAATGAATGAAAACAGGAAATTTTGATTGGTTTTTGCATACCATGCTTTTCTATCACACTCAGCATGTTATTCAAAAGCAAGGACAGCAGGAAGAGCCTCACCAAATCATTCAAATTAATGATGAGGAGGATGATGACAGTGAAGAAACTATTATAGAGAGACATTGGGATGTGGAAGATGATGACTAAAGTGATGTATTATGTAGTATTGGATGTATTATATAGTATTGGAGTCAATGTTTTTTTTTTGAAACTGCACTCAAACATTAAATCCCTTAAGACAGTCAAAAATGAGTGTAGTCCATCTGAAGTCAGGTGGAGTCCAGACAGAGTCTATGCAGACTCCAGATGGACTCCGGCTGCGTGTATGTATTTCAGGATCACACAGCCGGAGTCCATCTGGAGTCCAGATACCCATCTGGAGTCCATCTGGAGTCCAACTGGACTATGTGGGGGAGTGTAAAGTACACCAGCCAACATAAAAATTGTCCCAGTCCTAGTCCAGTCTGGTAGGAATCCAGTAGGAATCTGGGAGTCCAGTAGGAGTCTGGTAGGAATAGGTGGAGGAGTGTAAAGAGCTCGAGGAAGACCAGGTGCTGGCTCTTCATACCTCTAATGTTGTATTTATACTAATCCTCAAATATAGGAACAAGCTGGGAGGGACAGGGAAGAAGGAAATGGAGAAAATGAGCTATCAGAAACTCCATTGTAGTTCCAGAATTGGGAAGGAGTGATTGGTGCAAGAATACTTTGTTGATGAGGTGTCTCAGGTGGGATTGGGGCCAGTTTTGTGGACATTGAGCAATGGAAAACTTCAAAATTGGAACCTCTATTTCTGTTTGATCTGCAAGACAAGTCGCATGAAGCGATCACATGACACCTTTTCAATGCTGCAAAGGTGAACCATGGGAATAAATGTTGTGAGAATAATCTACACCCATGTTGCAGGCGTGTTTGAAATCAGACTCCATATGAAATTGATCGACTATCATCAACTTCATATTGGAGTCTGACATTGGGAGACTAGACTTGTTGGGAAGTTGAGAACAATGAAAGAATTTTCAATGGTGGAGCACCATGGACTTCATGAAGATGAAGTCCCTGAGTGCCTAATCTTGAAGGAATTGCGAAATAGTGATGTGCAGGCCCAGCTTGGCCTAAAAGCCATGGCCATGGCCTGGCTTTGGGCAGCTCAGGCTGTTAGAAGAGACACCTTGTGACCTCTCTTGTTTACACATCTGTTATTTGCACACTTCAATCACTTTCTCTTTTTATGCCTTGTATATATACTTCCACTATTTGCGAGTCTTTACTCCAAGCCACATAAATTTTCTTATATAAACCTACAAACTTTATTTCCCTTGACTCAGTCATCATCACACTTGTGTCTAACTCTGAGGTGAGCTATGTTACTTACATTTTATTACTTGAGACTCACACTACCTGTACTGCAGTTCTGTGTGTTAACAGGTAGCTAAATAAATCACAGTCATCATCACACTTGTGTCTGACTCTGAGTTCTGGATGTTAGAGTATGACCAGATGTTGTATGAGGATGAGAGTGTGGTATGTTTCCTTCCCTCTTCTTGTGATCACTCACAAACAATTTTTTTTTTTTGTTTGACAGGACTGTATGCAAGAAGAACTATCCCTCTTTGACTTGGTATGCAACTCCAGATGGTTCATCAAAACTTCAATTGTATGTCCCTCTCCATCCCTCCCCCCCTCCTCTCACAACTAATCTAACACCCACAAAGATTCTATTCTTCAACAAAATTGACCTCTTGACCAAAAAAACACCCCCACTCACCACTGGGGGACTACTTCCCAGACTATGCAGGTGGTGACTACTAGTGTTTGGAAGTCCCAGTACTTTACCTTGCTCCACATACTCAGGTGGATTCCACAAAAATAGTCATATTACTACTGAATTTTCTAGAGTCCACCTGGAGTTCACTTGGAGTTCACTGGACTCCATCTGGACTCCCCATGAACTGAGGTCTTATCAGTGCCCCCCTAATTCCTGCAGGATTCCAGTCATTCTGGTGGATTCCGGAGGAGTGAAATTTAGCAGGGAGGCCTGCTATTTTCATCATTCCAGTGCTTTGCCATTCCAGTGGAATTTTGGCATTTCAGAATTATGACCGGAATGGTCCCTGGATTGGCAAAAACGGAATGCAACAGGAATCCGGTTTGTTTGGCACATGCCCATTGCCAAACAATTGTTTGTTTGGCAACGGCTTTCACACTCATCCAAACACAACCCTCTCTCCTCCCACCACCACCGTCATCACTCCATGTAACTGCCCCCCTCACATTGTGAGTGCCTGCCATGGGCTAAGCGATGTGAGGGGGCTCACATCGACCACCACACTGCTCACCTGAGATCCAGCAATGTCGCCAACATGACAACGCTGTGCCACGTCACCATGGCACACAAACCAGGTAAGCACCCACAAACCCCTCTCCTCCCTCGTCTCTCAACACGAAAACCAGGTGCCACGTCGCTGACTGTGACATGGCACCAAAACGACAGCAACAGGTCTCACACCCCATGACGGCACCACCCCAGCACTCCTGAAACAACGTCCAGCACCCACACGAAACACAACGGCACCACCTTGCCCATGAAAACACCCCACCCAGCACCTATGATGGCCGCCCAGCACCCACAACAGTGCACAACGGCACACCACATCCACGAAAACTCCCCACCACCCACGAAAATGCCGCAGTGTATACAAAAACAACACACCACCCACAAAATGAAGCCCAGCACCCACGTACACCACCAATGGACGCGAAACAACACCCTGCGGACATGAAACAGCGCCCAGCACCCGCGA